AAAAAATGAAAAAGTCCAATTGAAAAACATGGAAATACGAGTTGAACAACTTAATTTTTCAGTCTGTTGATGCGACCAATCATTAAAAACAGCTGATTCCTTTAACTCAAACTGCAGTTTGTTGGTGGGACATAATTTCATTAAAAGCCGTCATAACTCTAAAAGGTTGATGCAAACTGTTGTGTAACTGTTCTGCTGAGCCCAGATGCTAGTTTGCTTTGATTCCATCAATCAGCTTTTGAGACGGTTGAGGTCGGCCAGAACACCAGAGGTCCATTTAATGACGCGTATCCCTCGAAAGTAAAGATTCCTCTGAGAGTGTTTTATGCACTCATCTGATTAGGTATAGAGGTATAGTGGAAGCTGACGTTTCCTGTTGCCAACCATACTTCACTGACAGGAAACCAGCTGCTGCTTTTTGTTTTGTACACTTTTGGTCATTGAAAGTGGAAAAAAAAAACGACATTCGGATTGACAACGGCAGCAGCTGAGCAGCCATCCTTGGCACAGATCAACCTCAGACGCCTCACCGCCGCCACTTTCGTTAAGTCTGTGGTTCATGTGCGACGCACCTTGAAGTCAAAGTCGGCTTCTGTGAAGTTCTTGTGCAGAGCAGGAGAGAGATACTGAGCCGTGGTCAGGATGATGCTGCAGAGAGGAACACACAAAAACAAGAGCCTTTACTTCAGCTGCAGCAGAGTGACAACACTCCTTAAAGCTCACGAGTGCTAGCAGCAAGCTGGATTAAAGTATTGCAGTAAACGTCCTGGTTTGGTTCCTCTGACTGATCATATAAGGACGTAATCATCAGCAGCAGCAGCAGCAGGTTACTGATGGAGCTGCTGCACATGTTCAGTTCTACTCTCAGGGACAGAAGATAAATCTGCACACATGTTTAAAGTGAGAAGAATAAAAAAAAGCAAAGTTCTGCTTCAAAATCTGTTTCTGCAATGTTTAAGACTTATTTTTCTTTTTGCCAGATATCGCTGAGAAACAAACAAAACGACATCATGTAAAAAAGAAAGCAGCACCTAAACAGCAGGAGAGCAATGAGATGACTGAAATAAAACCAGAGCACAGCAGTGAGAAGTTCTGCTGGATATTGGATCACTGGAACATTTACTGAAACAGGTGAGGACCTTAGAGGGAAAACCTGTTTGCTGGAGACGTTAACTCCTCAGACATCTGACACGCGAGCTGTTTGGAAGGAACACGAAGGCTGGAAGGTCTAACCTGCGACTGCGTGCTGCGGTTTCAAAGCTCGCTCTGTTATCAAATGTGTGTGCTCGTGTCTTACTTGCTGGTGAGGAGCCTCATGATGTTCCAGTCTCGGGGGAAAATACTGAGTTTCATCAGGTTTCTAAACACACACAGAATCTTCAACAAGAACTCCTGAGGACAGAACGAGACGAGGATCAGGGATGTCTTAAGACCAGTCTCAAAGTGTGAAACAGCTGCCACATGCTTCAGTCCCCAGTGAGCCACTAAAGACTGTTGTCATCACTCAGGACGCCTCGTGTACCTTCAGCTCCTCCTTGCTCTGAAAGTTCTCCATCAGGTGCTGGAAGTGGATGTCGGTCATCTGGCGGAGCAGCGACAGGAGGCAGGACACGTACTCTCCCTGCCAATCAGGAAGCCCGGGACAGTCATGTGAGCCAATCAGGCGGAGGCAGGCAGCAGAGCATGAAGAGTCAGAGGGATGGAACAGGCTCAGTCCCAGACTGGTCCCTGCTCACCTGGGCTCACCTGGCCTTCACTGGACACTGACAGGTGTCACTCTAACATCTCATCTACATGTCACACCAGATGAGTTCAGGACAAAGAAGCAGCTCGTTTTATTGTATGCTGCTTAAATTCTGTGATTTTAAATCCATGTTATATTCACGTATCATTCAAAGCAGAGTGCAGCCTTCAGCAGGTGTAGCTGTTCCATCAAACTGAGGTCAATAAAACGGATTACAGCTTCAGTGTTTAACCCTCTGAACCCCCAAAGCAGCCAGCAGGCTTAACATCTGCTAAACATCTGCAAAATGGAGCCACTAATCAGACGTTGTGTTGTCGTCTACGAAATAGATTCTTCAAAAAGAAAAAAACTGCTCGAAGCAACTGAGAAGCCACGACAGACTCGACTGTCGTGAGATAGCTGCAGGCAGAGTTTCCTCAGAGAGACTGAGAGGAAAAACCAACCGACTGGATCAATGAATAGATGCAGCATGATGAGCAGAGCAGAGAGGAGAAGTCTGGAGACATGGAGATGGCTCAGCATCTGCAGGATGTGAAGCCTCCACTTCTTCAGCGTAACATCTGTGGACTCTTGGAAACATCTTGACTCCAGGTTGTTTTTTTTATTTTGTTTTTTGAAAATCAACAACTGAAGGAATTCAACTTTTTATTGGTTTATTGATGATTTCCAATGTTCTGAGGTGTCAGGAGCAAAACGCTGGCCAGAAACTGCTGCTGGAGGTTCAGAGGTTTAACGGCAGCATCTCGAACGTCCTCTTTGTGGACTTTCATTTACAGTTAGAAGCAGCGAAGAAGGTCCAAGTGAAGGCGCCGTGAACAGGACCAGACTGAGAGCGAGCCGGCGATGAGAGGAGGGAAATGTCAATGAAGAACGTGGAAGGAGCTACCCCTGACTCAGACAAGTAATTATGAACTGTTCTTCTGCAGAAATACATTCAACAGGGATGCGAGGAAGAAGAAAACAACATGACTTTTAATAGCTGTTTAAGGAGAGCAGGCATGCAGAGAGACAACGAAGGCTGATGAGACTGGATGAGTCGCTGACAGGTGGATCAGGGGAGGGCAATACGGAGCGACCCAGTTACTGAATTATTATCTGAAATCTCACATATTTGGTTAAAAATGTAGGATTCTGTGATGGTAAAGTATTGCCCTCCCTGCCACCGACAGACAGGCGCAGGAGGGATGAGGGGAGGCGGTAGGAGCAGTAGTAGTAGTCGTATTGTTAGTTACTAACAGTGATCTCCGCGGTGCACTGCGGACAGCGTTGACCCCTTACCGCCTCCTGCGATTGGCTCTTGCTCATGATGGACAGCAGCGTCTGCAGGAGGACGTCCAGCAGCGACTCCACCATCATCTCCACCTCCTCCTGCACCGACGAGTCCTGCAGCGACACGAGAAAGCACGAGTCAGGAACGGAGGCGAATGGAGAGGCGGCGGTATGGACATCAATGTTATTGTGAGGGTTCGCTCATTATATTCATGCTGGTTAGCTTCAGCTCCATCCTCTAGGGCAGCGGTCCCCAACCACCGGGCCGCGGACCGGTACCGGGCCGTGGGTCATTTGGTACCGGGCCGCACAGATAGAATAAAAACGTTATATTGGTTTATTTTTATTTCCAGCGGAGTCTGCAGGGTGTTTTATTTTGAAACATGACTAGCTCGTCTTCCCGTCACTTCCGTTTGTGCTCGTCTTCCCGTCACTTGACTGTCAGTTTTTATGCCCGGCTGCTAAACGAAGCCGTCAGTCAAAAACAAACGTCTCAGGAGAGCTGCTTTGGAAAGTGGGAGAGACTTAATATTGAGACAGGAGAAAAAGCAAACATGTTAAGCAATAAAAATGTATTTTATCCATTTATGAAATTTTTCAATAGAAAAAAAAAACAATTATTATTTGTTATGTGCGTAGTGACCAGTCCGTAGAAAAATTTCTTGCTTAAAACCGGTCCGTGGTGCAAAAAAGGTTGAAGACCGCTGCTCTAGGGTCTTAGCTTCACCCCTACATCAGTCAGGTTATCCTCCATAACTACTAACAGTGTGCGGTCTCAGCCTCAGTAGTCACATAAAGTCGTACTTCCTATCAGTTTAGTAATCAATATTGATAACACAGATAGACGCAGACTGAAGAGACTCATCACCAGTACATGTGTTCAACCAGTGATGCAGTAAAAACTGTCCACCTGCTTTGGTCCTCTGATCAGGACACATCATCTACTGAGCTCCAGCCTCCATTCAGACCTCTGAAAGCTTCGTCTGTGTGTGTGTGTGTGTTACCAGCGAGCCGCTCTTGATGATGGAGAATATGGAGCTGAGAATGCCGGAGCAGATGAGCAGCTCTTTCTGCTGCCGCAGGTGGAGATGGATGTGATGCAGGACCACAGGAAGCAGGATCCTCCGAGACTCTGAGACACACAAACACCCGTTAAAGCCTCAAACAGGACACATATTTTTGCATATTTTCCCCACTTTAAAGTTTAAGATCATCCAACAAAGGTAAATATCAGACAAAGAGGCAGTCACTGTTTCCCACAGGGCCAGGCAGGCGACGGAGATAGATCAGAGCAAAGTGATCACATCAGAAGGACGACGGTCAGACACCTGGGAAGGAGAAGAGTCTGCTGTCCACAGTGCGAGCGATGGACTGCAGCTTCACCACGTCCATGGACTGGCCGATGTGCACCGTGGACGGCATGCTGCCCAGAGTGCCGCGCACAAACTCCGCCACCTCCTGCACCGTGAACATCTGCAGCAGCTCGTCGAAGATGGCCGGAAACGAGTTGAGCAGGGCGGCCTGAGGGGAGACGAGAGGGTGAGCGACGGGGGAGGGACGGCGGGAGGCGGGGGATTGTTCAGCTCTGTGTCCGTGACTTCACGAGGAGGACGGAGCCGGGTTTTAAAACGCGAGCCTCAGGTTGTCTCCTCCAGTCGGTTCAGAGGCATCGGTGGATTTATGGGTAAGAACGGAGCTGCTGCATTTTAAAAGCCGGCTGCTCACCGCGACTGAAAGGCACAAAGGTGAGTGACAGAAACAGAATTCATTCATTTGTAGAAAACAAATCAGAGATTTAAAGACAGGAGGAGGAAGTAGACGACCACACATTAGAAACTAATGAAGACGTCTGATCCAAACGGCAGCAGCTGGTTCTAGCACCAAGCAGCACATTAAAGACGAAGCTCACCGGTTTCAGCTCCAGTCTGGTTGTTCAGACCATGAGCCACAGCAAAGCGTTTAGTGATTAACCAACAATAAAATATCACATATAGTACAAACAATGTGAGCAGTACTGCGTCTTATAGAAGTTTACTATGATAATTTAATATTAAAGGTTCGGACTGTATGATGTTGTGTTTTTATACATTACACATTAAAGATGAGGTTCCAACTACATTACATACAATATAAAGGTACCTAATTTAAATATGAAAGCTAAGACCGTGCAACATTATTTACTACATAAACCTGCTATAAATGCACGTAAGTAGTGGAAATATTGAGGTTTAGGCTCCAGAATATTAGTTTTTATATAAATATGTAAACGGCTCTTTATCCCAGCTATCGCGCCCTCGTCTACACAAACAGACACATGAGCTCAGTGGAGCTTTAAGGTGTTTGTTCTTGTGCACGACAGGTGGTGAACACACTGTGCAGGTCTTTGAACCACAGAAACAGAAAACAGGAGTTTATAGCAGCCTGTTTAGAGGGTTTGGCTGTTTATTGGTACGGAGCAGTGAGAGCGCCAAATTACAAAAATAAATCAATAAAAGAATAATAAAATAAAAGTGGAAATAAAAATTAGAATAATAATAAAAAATAATAATAATAACAATGTGGCAATATAAAGCAATCCATAAAAGAAAAGGCTAATAAAAGTAGAAATATAAAGACAAATAAATAAAATAATAAAAAATAATAATTAAATTTTTGAATTTTTAAAAATTTATTTTATTTTTTATTAATTTTTGTTTGATTTTTACGCTATTTTTTCCAATTTTTAATTAATGAATTTTTTAAATTATTTTTTTAAATATATATTTTTTTATTATTTGTTTCAATTTAGATTTTTATTTATTTATTTTTTATATTAAATAAATATTTCCTTGTCTTTTAAAGTGACATTATAAAAAATAAATTAGAAAATAATAAATTAAAAAAAAAAACTTAAAATAAAAAATAAAAAAAACAATTTAAAAAGTAAAAAATTTAATTACCAAAAACTGAAAAACTATTAAAAATGAATAAATACATTTTATATATCTTATATTCTTTTATTATTCTATTTATTTGTCTTTATCAGCCTTGTCTTTCATTGGATTCATTTTTGATTAATATCGTTCTATATTGCCACATTATTTATTTTATTTATTCTTCTTTTTATTTCCACTTGGATTAATTTATTGTGTGTATTTTGGCGCTCTCACTGCTCCATGTGTTGGGGGAACACGTCTGAAATCAGACAGCAGACGACGGTGAAATGCGGCTGCAGAGTAACACACAGTCAGGGCAGGACGGGAGTGTGTGCTCGTGTGTGAGAGCAGTCCAGGTGTGCAGGATCACAGGTGTGTGTGTGTGACTTCACAGACAGGTGAACGAGGACTCTGGGCTTCACACAGTGTTTCTCCCAGACGCTACTTACTGACAGCGGAGACGGCCGCAGAGCGTTGCAGCTCGAGGCCTGAGTGCAGCCGGCCTGCCCGCTGCCAGGAGCCTGTCCTGGGCCAGAGGGCTGGGCTTGGCCGGGGGCGGGTGCTACTGCTATGGGAGGCCCAGCGCCGGGGCCCGGGGCTTGGTTTGGGCCCGCACAAGGCTGGGGGCCCTGAGGTGCATGGGTGTGGAGGAGGAGGCCCGGGAGGAACAATAGGGAGCCAAATGAAGGAGCAAAGAATCGGAAAGAGAAGGTGAGAGACGGAGGCAAGGAAAGGTCCGAGGTACAAGTAGAAGGAGGAGATAAAAGTCAGATTACAGCAGCTGAGAGGAGACGGAACAAACTACCAGCAAACTGAATGCAATGCTCATGGCACCACATGAACCTATCGAGTCAGCTGTGAAACACGAGTGAAGCTCAACAACTCAGCCACATCGGATCCTTCTACTGAAGACCGAGAGCCGTCCTCACCTGAGTGAAGATCAGGGTCTCGGAGTTGCGGCTGTCCAGGCTCAGGACGAAGCGGATCGACTGGAAGAGCTCCTGGACGCTGGTGCGAAACTGCTCCTCCTCCATCCCACAGGTGGCCCGGGAGTAAAGGATCCGAGACTGGACGATGAACTTGAACAGGTACTCCAGGGCCTGGTGGAAGCACGAGAGAGACCCACGTGAAGACCAGCGAGAAGGTTTCTGAACTCGTTTGCTTGCTTTCTTCATCTAATTTTCAGATTAGTTTTCACTCTTTACACCCTCTTGTGCTTCAGGAGCGCAACAGCTGCTCTTTAAAGGACACGTACTGAATATCAGACATTTAAGGAATACCACTCATCACACTTTAACCCTGTGGAGCTCCTTTCTTTGCTCTCGTCTCATGTTCCTTCACTGAGGTTCATGTTTCTCTGCAGCGTAAAGTCCTGCAGCTCTGTGGAACCAGAACCAGAAGAAAGATGTTCCACCATCTGTACAGTTGGAAAAGTCTGGAGACATGGAGATAGTTCAACATCTGCAGGACGAGGAGCCAACATGAGCTCCAGTGTCGGTAACATCTGCAGACATCTTCTTTCACATTTTTGTAAAATAAATTCCGGGTTCCTTTCAGTGTTTTCTCTGGTCTCCATGGTTCTGAGTCCAGCTGACAGAAGACGTCTCTGAGTTCTCTCTCCTCCTTCGTGTGGTTCTGGTTCCTCAGAGCTGCAGGACTTCATGCTGCAGAAGCTGAGGGATGAAAACACAGCGGTTCTTACCCTCATGGCCTCCTGGATGTGGTCCTGTCTGACCACCTCAGCGGACCGGTCCATGTACCACTTCAGACAGCGGATCAGCTCCCTGCAACACGACCACAACCGTCACACATCACATTTCTTAACCTGCAACAGGAAATGTTTTAGCCTCTGAGTCATAGAGAGCCGTCGTTCGTCACTCAAGACGCTGAAACTTCTGAACCCAACGTCGACCTTCTGTCACCTTGTAGAGAACAAACGTATTCCTGACTGTTCTGCTCAGTGACCGTTTGTACATATTTGATGTTTTATAAGACCTGAAGTGACCTAAAGAAGCATCTTAGACGGATGTGAAATGTCCTAAAAAACAAAAACAAAGCTGAATTCTGAAACATGATAAATCATTTTTTAAGAGCCATTTTATAAATTGTTCCTGTTTTGTTAACTTACAGATAACATCTAGTAAAATCCCAGAAAAAAAACAAAACATGTTAACTGTAAAAAAAAGACATTTTTTTTCCAAAACTGTCAACATCAAAATCTGTTATTTTATTTTATTTTAATTTTTTCAATCACAATAGTTTAATACATTTAAATCATCTTTATTTTACAAATATTTTCCCTTATTTTATAATTTTTTTCTTTCTATCTTTTTTTTTTTTTTTTTTAAAGTTTTTGAACGTTGCAGTAATCCTCTGTTTTTTTCACACATCTTTTCTGGCCAGATTTTACCGTTTTGCGATGAACAGTTTGTCTGTGAGGTCAAAGTAAAATACTCACTTGTAGGCGAGCGCACCAGCAAAGTGCTTCTGGATGTACGTGTCCATCACCGGCCTGAAGTGGTAGTACTTACTGTCCCTGAGCAGGTTTATTATGAACACCTGGAGGACACACAGAGAGATCACCCAGCTGATTTAACCGTGACTTAACCGGACATCGGCTCATGGAGTCAGAGAATGTTTTTCATGAGGGCCCAGACAGGAAGCAGCACCGTTTAACAGCTGACAGACGTGTTGTACATTCTGGTTTATATCCTCAGACATCCATCTGTAAACGTCACCAACACCTTCTGCCCTCATGCAGCCCCACATCATGATGCTGCCACCTCCGTGCTTCACTGTCAGGACTGTGGTGGTCCTGGTCAGGTTCACACCAAACATCTGGACTCCATCTGAGCCCAACACGTTTATGTTGGTCTCATTTGATCAAAGACTGCTCCAAACAAAACAACTTACACAATGTCCACATAAGGATAAAGACTGTGTACCAGTATCATAAAACGGCCCTTGTGGGTCAGCGACCTTCCACTTCAGTTGGTTTCGGGTTTTAGGTGACGTAAGGCACGTGATATAATATAAATATGAATGAATAGGATGCAGTCAGTCTGTGAGTGCCTCAGCCACAGATCTGTATCTTGACAGAAAAGGACAGCTTGACTGAACCTGACGGCATGTCACATCCGTCCTGCTGCTAGAAGACCTCGTTTTAACTTCTGCTCACACACTTACCAGTGACTGGAACACCAGCGGCCCGTATTTATCCGTGTTGTCATCCAGGATGGAGAACAGCGTGTCCAGAATGTCTTGGAGAAACTGTCAGAGACACAGACACACAGTCATGGCTACGTTCTGTTGTGAGGAGGCAAGAAGCTGCTCAGAGTTCAGCTGAAGAAAACTCAGGTTCATTGCTTCAGTGTAGACGGACACACATCCATAGCGTGGTGTTCAAACTGTCTGGCTGCACAGGAATCAAGAGGAAAGTCCAGACACTAGGTCTCAGGTGGACTGAGGTCTGGACTCTGACTGGGCCTCCAGAACTTCACCTTGTTGTCGTTAAACCATTTCTGTGGAGCTTTGGCTGTTTGCTTCAGCTCAACTAGTAACTCCTCCAGAGGAGTCATAGGAGTCTCTGTGGCCTCCTTCACTAGTCTCCTTCTAGTAGTTCCTTCAGAGGAGTCTTGGTGGCCTCCTTCACTAGTCTCCTTCTAGTAGCTCCTTCAGAGGAGTCTTGGTGGCCTCCCTCTCCATCACTAACTGTGTAACTTCTGACAACAACTGGCTTGTGTTGAATTAGTCCCTTTAAATGGGGTAAATAACGTAGTGACTGATTTTACATCTGTAGTTAACTGACATTACTGAGGAGAATTCTGTTTCACTTTGACATGGAAGAGTTGTTTCTTGTAAATTCTTGTCAAACAAGTTAAATGATATTGACCACGATCTAAAGTTAAGGGAACCTTCCAATACTATTCATCAGCCCTGTACTCAATGACTTGTTCGTGAGGCGGCCTTGGTTGTCCGTCTGAGCCTCACCTTGACTATCTCCTCTCCACTGACGTGTCGAAGGCGTCCAAGAATGTCCATGACGCGGTCAGGATGAGCTTTCCACTTGAGCAGGGCCAGGAGGTCCACTGGAAGACAACGGCAAAGTCAACCACCAGGAAAAAACACAGTCTGTGATGTGGAGCGACACAAATGAAAGCTTAACTCGTGTCTTAAACATGAAAACAATCCCAGAAGACGGTCTGCTTCCTCGTCATTAGGGCTGTGAGCCGGACTCGTGTGCCACTAAATGCGATATGGTTTACAACATTCACGAGCAGCTACTAACGCTAGCTAGTCCCTCACTTTATGTCAGCGTAAGATGCACATTTAAGCAAATATTGACATCATCCACAACAGTCCTGCTGCAGGTCCCACACCTGAGTAACGACAGAGATTTAAGTTCTCTCTGACAGTCAAGCACTTCCAGGAAAGTAAAACACCATATCTGCGTACCGTTCTGCGTGAGCTTGGTGGAGGACAGCTGTGTGGAGATCCAGAAGGTCTCCTTGGTGCTGCGCTGGAAGATGAGGCTGGAGGGGATGCTGGGGCAGCTGTTGAAGTCCTCCTTGCAGCAGGGCAGGCCCAGGTAGAGGGCGTGGTTACTGAAGGTGGTGTTCTCATCGCACTGAGCGGCGAGCAAGAGGAAGACCAAGGAGTGAAAAGGGTTGTTGCAGGTTTCCGTTAGCTGACTGTGCATGTCCTTCACTACCAGCTCAACATTCAACAGTCCACTTGAGAATAACGTAAAAAAAAACAACTTGTAGCTGCAAAAACCAGTAACACGGCGACTTTATGAGACCCACGTCAGAACACATTAATAAATGGTGGACCGTGTTCAAAAAAACTGTAAAAATAATAATTACAGCAAAACAACTAGTGTAGTAAAAATGGTGTCATGTTTCTATTAAATAATGTGAAAGAATGAATTTGCACTTAATATTTTATCTGTATTTGAACCAAACAGGGAAAACGTTTGTCTTTCTCTACATCGTGATGACAGACATGCAGAACTCTGCTGAAACTCAACGATGTCTGACCTTGTAGACGTAGAGCTCGTGGCTCTCATCAGACAGCGTAGTTCCATCCTCCCTCATCAGAGGAGTAAAGGCAAAACCAAACAGCTTCTTCTCTCCTTTGTCCTTCGCTGCAGAGTGACAGAGACACAGACGTACAGTCAGAAGGACGGCGAGACGAGTTTGTCTTTAGATTACACCAGAGGTAATTAGGAAACCACATGGAAACACTCCTACTGCTGTGAAGATAAACGCAGTGAATAATGTGTCAACCACACCGACATCTTCTCATTTACAAGCCTCTGTATGATTTAGATGTTTTCTGCACTCATGTTTATTGTTTATCGTCATGTGCAGATATAAACGAGTAATCTGTGTGATGAAGGTCCCAGTTCACTGTGTCTGAGCCTGGATCCACCAGACAAACAGCACGGAGACGGGAACGTGCAGCTCCTGGCAGCTTCTCCTGGTGTTCCTGGTTTCTCTCATTCTCGAGTCACATGATCCTGAAATCATCTCACACGGCTCTTTATGTGCTTTCTATGACATAAAAACCACGATCCAACTCACTGGAGCAGTGTCGGAACTCAAAGCGCAGGTGGGAGCCTCGGAACCGGTCGATGGGAATCGGCAGCTTGATCACCTCACTCCATCGGGGGCTGTTGTTGTGGTAGAGCACGAAGGAGCGGTGCTCCGGCAGGTTGGGCTCACCTGAACCCAGACTGATGCAGTCCTGCAGACAGAACCAGACAAAGGCGGAGCAGCGATGAGTCCACCTGTACGCAATGACACTGTCATTTACGTACATCCACTCACACCAAGCTGCACGTCGTAGTCCAAATTAAAATCCAGGCGGATTTTAAATCTGCCGATGCAAGATTAAACTTTTGATTTGGTCTGGGCAGATTGTAAGGGCAGAACTAAATTTCATCTAGACCAAGTTGAAATCATCCTTATAACAAATTGAGATTGTAAGTCTGCCCAGGCAGGTTTACAATTTGACCACACCAAATTAAAAATCTGAATTAAATCAGAATTATAAGACTGATTTCACCGAGACCAAGTTAAAATCATTCATATATATGTAGTATTTGTACCAGTCTGGTGTGACTGTTGAAGGGTGAAGTGTGGAGATTATATTAGATGAACACCTTGCCAGGTGTGACAACTTGTCAAGACCTTGGATACACATACTCCCCTTAACCCAGGCAGGACTACAGTCTTATTATGATATTAGAAGGCTAACATTAGCTACAAGGCTTAAATCTAAGGAGCATTTAAAGGATAATTAGCAGTACAAATAGGCTAAACGTTAACTAGGACAAAATATTTAAATTCCAACATTCAGATAATGTTTGCAGGCTGATGTCCGGATCACGGATCCCATGAAGACAAAGGAAGAACATTTTAAAACCAACAACAAGAAGAAGTTTTCAAGATGTTAGAGACGCTCCGATGACCCAGCGTGTAACAAATTACTGAACGTTCTTCAATAAAACGTCTCTGCAACGTTACACACGTTAAACCAACAAAAACTGTCTACATCTGGCAGCGAGGGTGCTGCACATACAGCAGAGACCACTGAACATAAGAGCAAACATCTGTCAAATAAATGACACCTCGACTGGGTTTAAACACAGTCAAACAAAACTGCTTATTGTAAAAACACAGATTATGGATGTGGACATTATTTACAGTTTTGGCTGTTATCTTATCTTTAATTTAACAGAAAACCTGTAAAAATAACAGCTTTATTATTACAGTATATAAAAAACCTTACTATACTTTTTGGAGGAACCAAATATCAGTAAAATAATGACCTTTTTCCTTTTTTAAATACAGTACATATTGTTTAATTTCATGGTTGAATATTGTAAACAAACTAATTCCCATTTGATGTGGATGGTATCGTAGCCCTCATTTTAAAAGTGGGGGGGACAAATTGTTCAGAGGTCTATTAAGTGATTTATCATCCTCTCACATTCAGGTGCACCTCTCCTTCGCAGGTAAAGAACCACATAACCACAAACAGCACAGCACCAAGGAGCCAACTTTTTTTTTTATTTTTAAATAATGATAATAAACGATATACTATCAAAGTCAAAATCTAAAATCTAAAGCTGCCAACTCTGGTTGAGTTGACATAGAATGACCCGGGTGCATCTACACGGTGCATCTGGTGCATCTGGTGCATCCGGGCCAGGCACCGGGTGCATGGCCAGATAATGAAATGCCAGATGAAAACACTGAACACCAAAAGTTCTGTAAAACACCATTCCTGTTTAAAATGATCAGCACCAGAGCACATGTTCTGTACAGAAATGACGGAGGAGTGGGTTTATAATCAGCGAGTTAACCTAGCTAACTTAGGATGACAAAGTCCTCTTCAAAGTCTTTTAGTCAAAGTCCTGGGCAATAATATCCCATATGAAATATCTTTGTGTTAGCTAAACATTATCACCATGTAACAGCATTACTGAACTTAGACGGTTTGTTGGGAAAAAACTGTCCAGAGTTTTCTGCTTCTTGGTTTGTTTAGCGGACATGCTTACAGCAAAGCGCCAGTCTTACCACACTGCAGCTGTGTTTGTTTGAGTCACGGTTTAGCACAGTCTACTGATGATGCGTTTAAAGGCGGCTCGGAAAAACGTGTTTCCACATGTTAAAAATGAATTAAGTGGTTGTAATGGCTGTAAAAAAAAAAAAAGTGCGGGGGACGGAGGGCACAGAATACGGGAAGTGCGGGGGACATGTCCCCCGTATACCCCGCGTCCGCTACGCCCATGGATGGTATCACAGTTTTGCCACGTTTGTTTCGCTTAACATGTAAATATATAGTTTTGTCTGTGATTTTACTGGATATTATTTATAATTTAACCTGTAGGGAACCACTAAGAGGGATGCCATTTCTCCCATGTCAGCTTCTCTTTATTAGTATATAATCATATGAACTATATTCATACAGCACGTTTTAAAAACAGAGTGAAGAAAATGCTTTGCAGACAGGGCAGGAAAGAAAAAGATACTCAAGAAACTCAGTAAAATATTACAAAATAAATCAATCAAATGAGGACATTGAACTCTGAGATCAGCCACCCGTCAGATCTGAGTTTTCACGGGTGTCCGTGGACCTCTGAGCTCTTTCTTGAAGGCGCAGTTGTCCAAACAGTGCATTAATCCCCGTTATTACCAGCACGACTGTGATCAATGACCTCTTTAGTAATTACAAGACATTAATTATGAGATCTTCCTTAGCAATTAGTCGATAATGAGAAGATCCTGTTTTATTATTATTATTATTATTATTATTATTATTAGAGACACCAAAATGTTCCCATTTCTTCTGCAGAAAACACACGTGTTATCGTTGAAGTATATTTTATTCCTATGGTCCTTGAACATGCGGGCGCATCACAGCAGCAGCATCCGCGCCTCCTCCGCCATTCGATGTGTCGGAACACAACAACCATGGCCCGGTTTCGTCTCCTCGTCTCTCTGCTCTTCATCCTCTCCTCGATCACAGCATCGACGGTACAACAAGGTGAGACAGCAGCAGCTTCTAACGGAGCTTGTTAGCCGAGCTAGAATCACCGGCAGACCGGCAGCTAACTGGTGTGACAGAGGCGCAGGTCGCCGGGCATGGTGCCCGTGTCTGTGTGCTCAAACTGGCCTGTCTGTTGTGACGCCGAGTGGGAACACAGTGAAAATGAGCCGTACGGAGCGTTTGAAACAGGTGTTGTGCCGAGGCATGCAGGTAAAACTCGGTAGTCATCCCGTTCGCGTCCCGGTGAGGACACCCCGGATCTTTCGTCTCCATGTTGGACCCTGCAACAGACCGGGGGGAGCTGACGGTCACCGATCGGACCGAAGCACCGCAACACTTGCTCGCAGTGGACGCAGCTCCGTTAGCATGAAGCAGCGAGATACTAGTGACAGCGGCTGGTTGATTCTGTTAATCTGCTGGTTTATTTATCTGGTTTTATTTATTTTTCTTTTCTATTCTACTCATCTGCTGGTTTATTTATCTGGTTTTATTTATTTTTCTTTCCTATTCTACTCATCTGCTGGTGTACTGTGTGGCGCATCGACTGTCAGAGACGTTCAGCTTTATCCGTGGCGGGGCGGTACATCTGAGGTCATCAGCCGAACCCTCCCTGGTCCCTCCTTCAAACAGCTCGAGCCGCACTGAGGCCAGTTCCAGACGTGGGGCCCAGTTAGTCTTGGTTCTTTCGCTCAGACCGAACCACGGACTGTTCATACTCACATATCTGCT